CCACTTTAGGGAGGCAGACACATATAGATTGAGAGTGAAAGGATGGAAAAGGATATTCCATGCAAATGGAAAAGCCAAAACAGCTGATGTAGCAGTACTGATTTCAGACTAAATAGACTGTAAAACAAAGGCCATAAAGAAAGGTAAAGAAGAACATTTTATAATGATTAAAGGAGTAATATAAAATGAGGATTTTACACTCATTAATATATATACACCCAATATAGGAGCACCTAAGTACATAAAACAATAACTAACAGAGAGAAAGAGGGAAATTGATGGGAATGCAATAATTGTCAGAGACTTTAACCCCACATTAACATCACTAGACAGATCTTCCTGACGTAAAATAAATAAGGCAACAGAGAAATTAAATGATACAATAGAAGAATTAGATTTGGTGGATATTTTCAGAGCATTACACCCCCCCCCCAAATAGGATATACCTTCTTTTCAAGTGCACATGGAGCATTTTCTAGGATTGGTCATGAATTTAGGCACAAAAGGAGCCTCAACAATTTTAAGAAGATAGAATTTATCTCAAGCATCTTTACTGACCACAATGCCATGGAACTAGAAATCAATTAAAGAGAAACAAAGGAGAAAAAAAGGAAAGCATGGAAATTAAACAACATGCTATTAAAGAACCAATGGGTCAATGATGAAATCAAAGTTGAAATTAAAAAATACCTTGAGACAAATGAGAAGGAAAACACAACCACATAAAATTTATGGGATGCAGCAAAGGCAGTGCTAAGAGGGAAGTATATAGCGATACAGGCCTTTCTCAAAACTGAAGAACAATCTCAGATAAACAATCTAACCACCAGCTAAAAGAATTAGAAAAAACAGAGCAAAAAGCCCCAAAAGACAGCAGAAGGAAGGAAATTATAAAGATTAGGGAGGAAATAAATAAAATAGAGATTAAAAAAAATAGAAAAAAATCAATCAAACCAACAGCTGGTTTTTTAAAAGAGTAAATCCACAGACCTGTGGCCAAACTCACCAAGAAGAAAAAAGAGAGAGCACAAATAAGCAAAATAAAAAAGGAAAATGAAGAGATTACAACAAATGACATAGAAATCTAGAATATCATATGAGAATATTATGAAAAACTACATGGAACCAAAATGAGTAACCTAGAGGAGATGGAGAAATTTCTGGAAACCCACAGCCCACCAAGAGTGAATCAAGGAGAAACTGACCACTTGAAGAAACCAATCACTAGAAATGAAAATGAATTAGCAATTAAAAACCTCCCTGCAAATGAAAGTCCAGGACTACAAGGCTTCACCAGGGAATTCTACCAAACATACAAAGAAGAACTCATACCAGTCCTTCTCAAACTCTTCCGGAAGACTGAAAAGGAGGGAATACTCCCAAACTCATTCTAAGAAGCCACCATCACCCTGATACTGAAACCAGGCAAAGACACTACCAAAAAAGAGAATTACAGACCAATATCACTGATGAACATAGATGCAGCAATCCTTACCAAAATATTAGCAAACAGAATCCAACAGCACATAGAAAAGATTATACATCATGACCAAGTGGGGTTCATCCCAGGGACTCAAGGGTGGTTCAACATATGCAAATCAATCAATGTAATACATCACAGCAACCAGAGAAGGGACAAAAACCACATGATCATCTCAATAGATGCGGATAAAGCATTTGATAAAATTCAACACCCATTTATGATAAAAACTCTCACCAAAGTGACTATAGAGGGAACATATCTCAACATAATAAAAGCCATATATGACAAACCTACAGCCAGCATAGTACTCAACTCAAAAGCTTCCTGCTAAAATCTGGGACAAGATAAGGATGCCCACTATCACCACTCCTATTCAGTAGCTTCTTGGAAGGCCTAGCCACAGCAATCAGGCAAGAGAGAAATAAAAGGGATGCAAATTGGAAAAGAAGAGCTAAAAGTGTCACTATATGCAGATGGCATGATACCATATATAGAAAACCCTAAAGGGTCCACACAAAAACTAGCAGAAATAATTGAAGAATTCAGCAAGGTAGCAGATTACAAGATTAATGTTAAAAATCAGTTGTATTTTATGATGAATCAACAGAAAAAGAAAGTAAAGAATCAATCCCCTTTAAAATAGCACCCACAGTAATAAAATACCCAGGAATAAATCTAACCAAGGAAGTGAAAGACATATGCATGGAAAACTATAAAACACTGATTAAGGAAATTAAAGAAGACTTAAAAAAATGGAAAGTTATCCCATGCTTCTGGATTGGAAGAAACAATATTGTGAAAATGGTCATACTGCCCAAGGCAATCTACAGGTTTAATGCAATCTCTATCAAATTACTCAGGACATAGTTCACAGAACTAGAACAAATCATAATAAAATTTATATGGAACCACAAAAAATCTAGAATTGCCGAAACATTACTGAAGAAGAAGAAAGAGGCTGGAGGAATAACTCTCCCAGATTTCAGACAATACTATAGAGCTACTGTAATCAAAACAGCATAATACTCATACAAAAACAGACATAGGGACCAATGGAACAGAATAGAGAGCCCAGAAATGAACTCATAAACTTTTGGTCAATTAATCGTCGACAAAGGAGGCAAGAATATATAATGGAATAAAGACAGTCTCTTCAGCAAATGGTACTGGGAAAACTGGACAGCAGCATGTGCAGCAATGAAGCTAGAACACTCCCTTACACCATACACAAAAATCAACTCAAAATGGATGAAAGAATTAAACTAAGATAAGACACGATAAACCCCCTAGAAGAAAATATAGACAAAACATTATCTGACATACATCTCAAAAATGTTCTCCTAGGGCAATCTACCCAAGCAATAGAAATAAAAGCAAGAATAAACAAATGGGACCTAATGAAACTTACAAGCTTCTGCACAGCAAAGGAAACCATAAGTAAAACAAAAAGACAACCTACAGAATGGGAGAAAATTTTTGCAAATGAAACCGACAAAGGCTTGATCTCCAGAATATATAAGGAGCTCATACGACTTAAGAAGAAAAAAAGAAACAACCCAATCCAAAAATGGGCAGAAGACCTAAACAAGCAATTCTCCAAGGAAGAAATACAAATGATCAATGACACATGAAAAAATGCTCAGTATCACTAATTATCAGAGAAATGCATATCAAAACTACAATGAGGTTAGAAAAAAAACTACAATGAGGTATCGCCTCACACCAGTCAGAATGGTCATCATTTAAAAGTCCACAAATGACAAATGCTGGAGAGGCTGTGGAGAAAAGGAGACCCTCCTACACTGCTGGTGGGAATGCAGTTTGGTGCAGCCACTGTGGAAAACATTATGGAGATTCCTCCAAAGACTAGGAATAGACTTCCCATATGACCCAGGAATCCCGCTCCTGGGCATATATCCAGAAGGAACCCTACTTCAAAAAGACACCTGCACCCCAATGTTCATAGCAGCACTATTTACAATAGCCAAGACATGGAGACAGCCTAAATGTCCATCAACGGATGACTGGATAAAGAAGAGGTGGTATATTTATACGATGGAATACAATTCAGTCATAAAAACCGACAACATAACGGCATTTGCAGCAACATGGATGTTCCTGGAAAATGTCATTCTAAGTGAAGTAAGCCAGAAAGAGAAAGAAAAATACCATATGAGATCGCTCAAACATGGACTCTAGAAACAAAACAAACAAACAAACAAACAAACCATAAATACAAAACAGAAACAGACTCAGAGACATAACATACAATCTTGTGGTTGCCAAGGGGGAGAGGGGTGGTAAGGGATAGACTGGGATTTCAAAATGTAGAATAGATAAACAAGATTATACTGTATAGCACAGAGAAATATATACAAGCTCTTGTGGTAGCTCACCGCGAAAAGTATGTGGCAATGAATATATGTATGCTCGTGTACAACTGAATAACTGTGCTCTACATTGGAATTTGACACAACATTGAAAAATGACTACAACTCAGTAAAAAATGTTTTAAAACATGGGATATGAATTAGCCATAAGAAATGAAATACTGCCATTTACAGCAACATGGATGGACATAGAGATTATCATATTAAGTGAAATGTCGGACAGATATGATATGATATCACCCATATGCGGAATCTGAAGAAAATGATACAAATGAGCTCACGTACAAACCAGACAGAAATAGACTCACAGGCATAGAAAACAAATTGATGGTTACCAAAGGGAAAGGGGGTGGGGGTGGAGAAATTAGGAGTTTGGGATTAATTTAAACACTGTACTATATATAAAACAGATAAACAAAAAGGACCTACTGTATAGCACAGTGAACTTTATTCAATTCCTCCTAATAATCTATAATAGAATAGCATCTGAAAAAGAAAATCTACATGCACATTTGTAACTGAATCACTGTGCTGTACACTTTAAACTAACAAAACGTTGTAAATCAACTGTACTTCAAGAAACATATTGTTTTAAATTACAGCACCTGAACCCTTTACCATCTGAAAGCATCTTCACACACAGGATCGCATTTGCTACAGCAGCCCTGTGATGAGAACATTTACCGTCCTCTGCTTCACCAGAGAAAACTAAGGATCAGACCTGCCCCAAACCTGGGGACGCTGGGCTGGTCTCTGATTCTTACTCTGTTCTGTTGG